TCCAGCTGCAGTCATTCAGTGAGTCAATGGTGCTCACTCTGGCCAGACCTGTGCTGTTTACAGAGGTGCAGCAGTGAATGTGACAGACCAGTTCCTGCCCTCACAGAACTTAACATTCTAGTTACAAAAAGAAACAGTAAACAACACACAAGATCATCACTGGAAGGCCCGGTAGGTGCCTTTAAGGAAGTAAACAAGGTGATGTGAGTAAGAAGGGCCAGGAGATAGTATAGACAAGGAAGGTTCTGTATAGGAGATGACATTGAGCTGACAGCTGAGGATAAGAAGGAGCCAACCATGTGAAAAGCAGGGGTAAAGCATTCTAGACAGAAGGAACAGCAAATGCAAAAGCCCAGAGGCAGGAAAGGCCTTACTGTCTTAGGAATTAAGAAGCCAGTGTAGCTAGAGCCGTGGTCGGCAAATCGCGGCTCGTGAGCCACATGTGGCTCTTTGGCCCCTTGAGTGTGGCTCTTCCACAAAATACCACGTGCGGGCGCGCACGTACAGTGCGATTGAAACTTCGTGGCCCATGCGCAGAAGTCGGTATTTTGTGGAAGAGCCACACTCAAGGGGCCAAAGAGCTGCATGTGGCTCACGAGCCGCGGTTTGCCGAGCCACAGTTTGCTGACCACTGAGCTAGAGTGTGGTGAGTGGAGTGGGGAAATACAACCAGGTAGGAAGATGGGTAGGAACCAAATCATGCATGACCTTGGATGTCCAAAAAGGAGTTTTGATTGCATAGTAAGAGCTGTGGAGCACTGTTACGAGTTGTTAGCAGTGCAGTGACATGGTGACATCATCGGCTTTATGCCCTGAAAGCTCAGGCAGGGTGCTCTCACAGGACAAGCAGTATACTTCTCCAGAAATACACAAGTTCCCAAAAGCTGGTCCTTGGACCGGGGCCAGGTGGCTATATCAGGCTACTGTGGGAACCTGTCAGAGCTGTGGTTTCCTGGATTCTCACCCTGGAGTTGCTGATTCAGAGGGGCACGTTGCAGCCAGGAGCTCTTTTTTTGACACATGCTCCTCAGAGTCCAGCCTGCACCCACTGTTGAAAACCCCTCTTTTTTAGAATGGGACTGTAAAAGCCAAGTGTACCTCAGGCAGATGCACACATGCCCTCCATTTTTGGAGGGGAGACCATGAAAACTCTCCCCCAGGAGAGCTGTTGTGGGGTGAGTTGAGTGGTGCCCTCTGAGGAGAAGAACGAGCCGAAGACCAGGTGGTGATGGTGCCACTATAGATAGGCTTTTGAGCAGTAAGCCAGCTGATCTCTGTGCTGCAGGTCCCCGTCTGGGCAACTCACCGGTGCCAAGCATTGTGCAGTGTCTGGCGAGGAAAGATGGCACAGATGACTTCTATCAGCTGAAGGTAAGTGAGGCACCTGAGGCCAGGGTCTCGGGGACTCGGGCCATCCTGCCAGCCTGGCTCCCTTTTCTCTCCCTTCGCACCTGCACCACTTGTGAGCAAGAGTGGCACTATTTCTTCCTGAGAAACAATCAAGTTCACAGCCTCTCTCTGAACAACTCTTGATTTAACGAGCTTTATCTGTGCATAAATTACATTGCCATCACATTAAGAAAAACTGTTGCACTTCGTAGATGTGTGTGTGAGTGTGTGTGTGCAAGTATTGCATGGGAGAATGTGACCCCCTGCTTTTCCTGTTCTGGTCACTCTGCTCTATAAAGTAAGGTTTTTTGGGTTGTTTTTCTTTTTTTGTGTGTGTGTGCCTTCCTAAAGATCCTTACCCTTGAGGAGAGGGGGGACCAAGGAATAGAAAGCCAAGAGGAGAGGCAAGGCAAGATGCTGTTACACACCGAGTACTCTCTGCTCTCCCTCCTCCACACACAGGATGGCGTGGTTCACCACCACGGGCTCTTCCAGGTGAGTGGCTGCCTGTTCCCTCCTTTCCCTGACCCCCCACTCTGGGCTGGCACTTGCTAGGGCCACACCAGTTCTTGGAGCAGCTCACCCTTGTGACCCCTGCGTGCTGGGTATGTCATGACTTTCTGGGCCGGGCGGGCTAGAGCAGCAGTCGCCAACCTTTCGGACCTCACGGATCACCGGTTGGTGACCACTGGGCTAGAGGTCAGACTGGGTCAGCCCCGCAATCCTGCTGTGATGATCACAGCCTAGCAGGAAGCCACACAGTTCGCATCTTACAGACTTTCTTTAAAAAGCTGATTTTCTGAGAAAAGAGGAAAGCAGGAAGTCACTTAAAGACACAGGCTCATTCTACTGTTTTGTCAGGAATTGGCCTGGCCAGGGTAGAAGGGAGGGCTGTGAGGAAGAACGGGCACTTGGAGCCACCTCAGTTGTTTTGGCACCAACAGTCCTGTCCGCCCAGGCATTCCAGTTTGTTCAACAAGTGTCCCTGAGCCCGTGCCCCGATGTCCCAGGTCCTCAGGAAAGGTGCTAATTAGCAATGTGTACCCTGAAAAGTGCCCTCCTCGGGGCGGAACTGAAATTGTGTCTTCAGAAGTAGAGAAGCAGCTCAGATGCCCAGGAGGCCACCTACTCAGGACTCAGCAGAGCCTCTGCAGTGCCCTTAGCCAGCCGCACTGGCCAGGGCCCCTTCTTGCTCCGATGGACCTGGTGCAGGAAAGGCTGCATGGTGGCAGGGGGTGCACACAAGTTTTGGAGCCAGCAGTCCTGGGTTCAGGTTGTGTGACCTCGGGCAAGTCACTCAGGTCCCCTGGCCTCAGATTCCTCATCTTTGACATGAGGATAACGACAGTGATGCCCACCTTGTTCAGTGGTGGGAAGATGAATGAGTGTGCAAAGCCCCGAGCTGCCCCATTTGCACTCTCATCGTGGCTGTTATTTCAGGCAGTAAAAACTCCTTGTCGGCTTGATTTCAGAAATAAAATAAATTAGAATGCCTCTCACCCCACACATACACCCCACTCAGGTCTTCGTTCTGAGGCACAATTACAGGCAACTCTGTATCATTAGGCAACTCTGAAAACTAGTGTTTCCCTTAAGCATGAAGTCAAACTGAGGGAGATTGTGATTTCTTAGTACTTCATTTCTGCCAGCTTCCAAAGCTTGGCCTGGGCCATATCATTGTAGACAAGAGAACCTGGGTGATTAGTGTTTCTAGAGTCAGCTGCGTGCCAGACACTTGGGTCTCTGGGGAAGGGAGAATCAGAGTGTGGATGTTCAGTCCCCAGGAGCTCCCAGGGGCTGGATGACACCGAGGGCCTCCTCACGCTGGTAGGATGAAGGTCCCCATGTTGAGCCTGTTTTTTTCTTACTTAAAATGTCTTTTCAGCAAGGGAGTGGGTGCAGAACTTGCCACCATGGTGTTGGTAGCAGGGCCCACCTACTGAGCCGTGGCTGGGGCGGGGGACTGGCACTCAGTCTGGTTGTCTTATTCCCAGGGACCTGTGAGGCAGGGGTTACCGGCTCCCATTTGTAGGTGAGGAGCCAGAGACTGCCCATGAGTCCCTCTTCCATGTGGAACAGTTGTCTGGGACACACAAAACACCACAGCCACCACTTGGACATTGGAAGGAAGTGTGCTGTGGTCGTTGCTGGGATCCCTGGAGTGCCGCGGAGGGGAAGGTGTCCATGGTCCTGGGTTTACAGCCTCTACTCTGGACTCAGGGGACCCTTTGGCTTTAAATGCTCAGCCCTGATCCAAACCCTTAGTATTAGAGTCAAAGCATGAATCTTGCACATGAGCTACTGTAACCTCATCCCCTGCTCGGCCTGGCACTGGTACATGGGAAGCCAGGCATTGCCCCATGGTCCATGCTGCCCAGGCCTCAGGCCTTCATCACCCACACACATGCAGGCTTCTCCCTGGCTCCCTCATTGCTTTGTGTGTTTGGCTCCAGAGGAGAGTCCCAAAGCCCTGGCCCCAGTTCCATCAGCCCCCTTGCCTCCCAGGACCGTACCTGTGAAATCGTTGAGGACACAGAATCCAGCCGAATGGTTAAGAAGACAAAGAAGCGCATCTGCCTTGTTCTGGACTGCCTCTGTGCACACGACTTCAGCGACAAGACCGCCGACCTGATCAACCTGCAGCACTACGTCATCAAGGAGAAGAGGCTCAGCGAGCGGGAGACCGTGGTCATCTTCTACGACGTGGTGCGCGTGGTGGAAGCCCTGCACCAGGTGAGGCTGCAACCTCTCCTCTGCCTGAGAGCATCCTGGGCCCCACAAGCCACAGAAAGCCACCCTCTGTCCTGCCCTCACCCAGGTGTGGTTGCAGCTGGAACAGCTGGACGTGTGCAGAAGGAAAGTGGCCAGATGACATGTATGCCTGGGGAGGCACAGTGCTGCAGGCATCAGCCCACCATCCTGG